TGGCTAATTTTTATGTGTTTTTTTTTGTGTTTCTTTTTTTTGCTGTTGGTTGTGGTTGTTTTAGAGACAGGGTTTCATAAGTTAGCCAGGCAGTTCTCGAACTCCTGGACTCAAGCTATCCATCTGCCTTGGCCTCCGAAAGTGCTGGGATCACAGGCATGAACCACTGTGCCCAGCCTTAATATTGGTTTATAACTCAGTATGAATTCTCCAACTTTATTCTTCCCCCATCCCCAAACATTTGGTCTAAACTGATGGTTCTCAAATGTTTGACTGCCCAGTAGAATCATCTGAGACACTTTTAAAACTCTCATGCTGTATTAATTCATTCTTGTATCACTATAAAGATTACCTGAGACTGGGTAATTTATAAAGAAACAAGGTTTAGTTGCCTCATGATTCCACAGGCTGTACAGGAAGGATGGCAGCATCTGCTTCTGGGGAAGCTCAGGGAGCTTTTACTCATGGTGGAAGGCAAAGCAGGAGCAGGCATCTAACATGACAGGAGCAGCACCAAGAGAGAGCGGGAGGGCAGAGGTGCCACACACTTTTAAACAACCAGATCTTGTGAGAACTCGCCATCACGAGAACAGCACCAAAGGGATGGTGTTAACCATTGATGAAAGATCCACCCCCCATGATCCAATCACTTTCCATCTGTCTCACCTCCAACTTTGAGGTTACAACTGAACATAGGATTTGGGTGGGGACACAGATACAAACCATATCACATGCCCCTGGCTGCATCCCAAAACAACTAAAGAAGAATTTCCAAGGTGGAACCCAGGTATCTGTATTTCCTGAGCTTTTAAAATGCAGCCAAGGTTAAGAACCACTGTTCTAAGTGATCACTATAATTTCCCTTTCCATGATTGATTTAGGAATAAGGATGTGACTCAATACTTACCAAGACGCAAGAAGTCTCCTGTAAAGCTGCTGGGAAAGCTTTCTTCACCCATTTAAAGAAACAAAAGGATATAAGAAAAAGTCTCTCTTCTTCATCTAGCATTGTTGATCTGAATTGGTACCACCAGTTTGTGATCTTGGCATAGGATCATGGTAACTTTGGTGAAGGTGACTTTGAAGATACTTAAGAAATATAATTTGAGTCCTTGATGATCCTGGAGCCTGACCTATTCTGAGTCTTCAGTAGAATAGAAATAATATATCTTATTGTTTAAACTTGTTTGAGCCATATTTTTCTGCTTATTGTCTTTAAAAGCACCCAGACCATACTCACCATGGACAAAGATTTTCTCTTTGACAAAACTCTACTCAGGCTCCCCTGAACTTTTCAAGTAGGCCTTGAAAAGTTGGACTTTTGGACTTCCATATTTGTCCCTGACTGTCCAACTTTAACAAGAATCCTTGGCTTAGTTGAATCCCCCTTCCTCCATATCTGATTATGCTCCATATGTTATTGGGTCTCTCATTCTCCACCATTCCTCAGCTATGTCTGATCATCCCAGCCTGCTTTCAGCAAGAATCCTGTTATGCCAGTTTGGCCAGAATGCCCACTTAGTCCTAATGTTTCCTCTTAGTACTTTTCCATCCGTTAACCCCCACCCTGCTCCTTGGCTATAAATTCCCACTTGCCCATGCTGCATGTGGATTTGAGCCCAGTCAATCTCCCCTACTGCCAAATCCCTTGCAGTGGACCTGTATAGCTATGGAGATAGTTCCCACATACACCTTAAATAAGGCTGCCTCATCATATAAAGTGTCATTGACTTTTTTTTAGCACCATACATAGGCCACACATTTTGAATATTAATCAGGAGGTGATGAATCTTTATGCATATTTCCAAACAGCATTACTCCTTATGTTCAGGTGAGTAGGACAAAATCAACTGACCTCTGTAAAGGTGTTACCCAAAACCTTGACTTCATTAGTATTGATTGCTCAAGTCTTTTGAAATTGCAACAGCTACACATAAAATTGGGTATGAATTCATTGGAAGAACATTCACTTATATAAAAATAAATAGAGTTAAATTGTTCCACCCAAAGAATTAAGTCTAAACCTTGCTTACTGCTTCTTGGCTAAAACACAAGGCAAATACCAATGCATATAGCAACTCATAGAAAACATATTCCCCAGTTTTAGAATTTCCTCCACATTCATGAAGGTGATTTCAGTAAAATCTCACAGCATTTATTCATATAGAGTGAACCTAAGCGTTGAAGTGAGACAGCCTAAACTAGTTCTCTAGTGAAAAATGCTAATCCATGTACAGCACTATTTCAGCTTTCGCCCTTTCCAGCTATAAATCTAGTTAAAGGAAAAGCTTCATAAAAAGTAAATACTTAGTTCTTCCTGATAATCCCCCTCAGCGTTGCATTCTACTTATCAGGCCAACTTATTCTGAGTTGTTGGCTTATTTCAGTTCTCTAAAAGAAGAACGCAAGGATTCAAATTCAACCGGATGGTCCATATCACATCAGGGGATTGGGACAGTTGATTTACTCATACAATCTCTTTAAACATCTACCAGGAGAGGTTCTAAGGCAGAATTTATTGCCTCCTCCTGCCATCGTCGGACCTACAAAAAACAAAGCAAAATCCTAGGAAATCTGAAAACTCCAGTCACTGATTTCCTGGCTGATGTCATTTACAAAGCACGATGTAGTCCTGTGATAGTCACAGCAGGAATCTGCCTCTCTATGGGGTTTTCATCTGTTTGCCATCAGAAAGAACCTCTTGGGAAGCCATGGTAAATGCAGAGAACCCATTCCTCCCCATGGGTCCCAGAGTCTTGTATTAGCTTTTCAGTCTTTTCAGGATCAGCTGCTGTTAGAATTAAATATGCTTACATTTCTACAGAATGAGAAGTATATAGAGTTTATACTGCTGTAACTTTCATTTTTATCCATGTTTGGCTTATCATAGGCTACTTGGTAAAAATCTTTCATATGATTCTGAAACTCTTATGCAAATGTCACCAAAATGAAACTTTAGCCACTGCAATTCTTTCCTTTGGAGAAGACTTTTCTATGTACTTTATGTAATGCATTTCTTATTATAAAATGGCTTACATTTGAAGCAAATATTTCTGAGCTCTTTAGGTCCAAAGTGACTTAAAAGTGTAGTATTTTATGTTGAAAGGCTATTTGTTCACTTCTTTTTTAAATTTAAATTTTAATCTTACAGATGGGGGTCTCACTATGTTGCTCAGGCTGGTCTTGAACTCCTGGCCTCAAGTGAGGCTCCCATCTCGACCTAAGTGCGAAATTACGGGCATGTGCCACCATGCCCAGCCTATTTATTCACTTCTTATTAAGAGCTAACACAGATGATATAACTGGTTAGAGCAAAGAAAACATATTACAGTGGCAAGACGTTTCAAAACTGATCTTTTGTGGGTCAGCTTCAATGCAGATAATTCACTGTAAATAAGTGGGGGTTCACAGCAGTATCGAGTTATAACTAACGGAATTGGGTGTATTGATCCAGAAATAAATGCATAATGGTCGCGTTTATTACTGAGGAAACAGAGCTTGAATTCCACAGGAATGTTCAATAAAGGAAACGATTTCATGAAGATCAGCCTTTTTCTCATCTCCATTCTTCCCTGCAGGTATTGCAGCCTTCACAGTGCCCGAACAAAAACAGACTCTATTCTGTTCCTCAAGGAATAATTTATTAAACATGTTTTTGTACATTGGCCTTTCTGTGTTTATGTGCTATTTCCTCAGAGAAGATTGACTATGAGGATGAAATAGAAATAACATCACTTTTCAATATTCTTCGAGCCCCAATTCCTAGAAAAATGACAGATACAAAGGTCTTTTTATTCATCCTGTAAAATGACAGTTTGTTTCAATATGGTTTCCCTGAGTTCAGTATCAAATGAGGCACAGTCCCCACTGGGCAGTAGAGAAAGAAGTTTTCCTTACCACACTGGGGAAAGCAAATATGAATACTAAACCAAATGACTGTCAGAGGATGGAGAGGAGATGAAGAAAGGCCTTAAGAAAGAGGATAAGGCATAAGGGAAAGACCAGGTGAAGAAAGGCAATCAACAACTTGCCTTTCAAAGAATGATGACATTGTGATTACTGTATTTACATGACTTAAACATGAGGCGCTACCTCAGTGTTTTGTAAAGCATGTTACACGCATGCGATAATTAACGGAGATGAACTTGGCACACAGATGTAACATTTTTCAAGGGTCGTGTATTTATTTTATCATGTGTATGGTGTACATACCCATTCACACACATATGCATACATTTGTAAAGCATGTTACATGCATATGATAATTGACAGAGATGAATTTGGCACGCAGATGAACATTTTTCAAGAGCCATGTATTTATTTTATCGTGTGTATGGTATATGTATCCATTCACACACACACGCATACAGGTATATACCTAACGCATCAAAGCTGAAATTTCATAGATTCTATTGCTTAGGATGAAGCTGAAATGTAAAAAAATGGTTTTATTGAAGAAAAAGTATTAAATAATAATACACACAGTACTAGGCTGTGGCAAGAAGCATGTTGGTGATACTTGAATGACTGGAATTTAAGAAACCTTGGTAAAGGCCAATGAAACACAGAGTTTCATGTGAGAGTGTGGGGAGAACCCTACTCTCCACTGATCAAAAGGGTGATTTTTATTTACTATTGATTCAGTATTTTCAGAAAGCTAGCTTCACATTTTTAGTCAGATATTTTCACCACCTATGGTGAAAATATCCTCAGGAGAATGTTGCCTAACAAATTTATGGGAAAACAATTTAAACTTTCTAGAACTCTGTTTTCTTGTCTGAAGAGTTGAAACTTTATGTTTGTTTGCTTGTTTTTCCACATTTCCTTACCTTTCTAATCTGTTCTGATTTTGGGAATCCCCCCTCCCCCCCCCCCGCCGCCCCCTCCACCATTTCGGACCACAAATTCTACCAGTAGAGGGAGCCGTGTTCTTCTTGGAAAATCCTCTAAGCTCAAGGATCTTTGCCGGAAACAGCATCACCCCTCCAACTTGTTTACTGAACACTGCCTCCCTTTACTCTGGGTTAGTCATTTTACGGTATCGGCACCAGCCTGGGGATCCTTCTGACAGCGGATATATTGTCACAGAGCAGTCTGAGATCCAGCCTTCAGCTTTTCTAAGAATACAGTTAGCTTCTGCACGAAACATCTTGTTAAAATCGTGAGTGTTCTGATCATTACCACATTTTTCATTATGTGTGTGGTAATCCTGGGCTGACTAGGCTGGGATCCAATTGCGTTAATTTTGAGTTGGATTCGAAGTTTAGAGTTGGAAGATTTTTAGGAGCATCTGTTCCAACTTCCTCATTCCACAAACAAAGGATATGACACCGAAAGAACTTATGTCCCACAGAAAGTTACTAGTGTGGAAATAAGATTAGTCGACTTTTGTGGAAAAGTCCTTCACAGCCCGCTTTAGTCCTGACTGCACCGGGGGCTGTGCAACTTTGGGCAGGTCATTTAATCACTGAGACTCTGTTTTATCTTCTATAAAATACGTAACCGCTAAAATCACTTCAGTTCTATTCTGTTGGGCTCACTGCCTCTAAATGCTAAGTCATTTAAAGGCGGATGGAGTCATAAGGTTGTAGAATTATGAGTGATTTGTCTTTTATTGAAAAAAAGTTTCTAACTATTGCATAATCTTTATCTTCTATTTGCAGGCAATTCTAAGGCCTCTTTTTGGCTTTATTGTTCCTTCCTGTTCTCTAAAATTGTAAATGATTTTTACCTTTACGAGTATAGAAGGGATTAAAATTTGACTACACCAGAACAAAAATGTGTAACTCCAGCATGAATGCAACAATCAAAACGTTAATCCAGGACCATAAGAGAATGTGGAAAAGAGAAAACAGTTGAAGTATTAAGGTTGGAGCATTGTGAATGATTTGTCTTTTTAAAAAAAGGTTTATAATTGCAAAATAAACATAATTCAAGAGGATGAAAAAGTCCACGTAAAAAGCAACACAGAGGTGAAGGAGCCAGCCAGCCAGAGATTTTAGGGGGTGGAGTCAAAGCAATCAGCAGCTCCGCCAGTACCAGCACTCCCCGCCAGACCCCGCTCCTGGCGTGTGCCTCAGCTTTGCAATAAAGCTTCCTCTTTTTCAGGATATTGAATTGGGGTTCAGGGAAAGCCAGACATCATGTAATCAGTTTGAAATTACAGCGTATATCTAATAAAAGCACACAAAATTTACAAAATTTTTTTTTGCCAGAATCTCTTAAACAGCAATGTGTTTGCTAAGAAAAGGGGAGATGGAAAAGAAATCATGTGTAAGAGAAATCTTTTCACAAGAACCTACACAACTTCAGACCCGGCACACATAATGGCAGATAGCTTAAAACCGGAACCTCCGTCACCTTAGAAGGAGACAGAGAATCAGAGTTTGCACCTCAGAGTGAGGAGAGCCCTGTTCAGCCTGGATCCCAGGAAGGTCCACCTCTCTGTCTGTTAGCATGGCTGCTCTGCGGAGAGGACAAAGATCTTTCCTGCTAAGTCAAATCAGTGCATCAGAGTGTTGTGGTGATATACGCTACACGTTTGGACTGATTCTATCGGAGACACAGGGCCCCCTTCATGGATGTGGGGCCTGTGCAGTCAAACAAGGTTCCAAACATAGGAGGATCCCCTTTGTGTTTGGTTTAATCTCTGCTGTCACTGTTTTGAAATTCTTGATAATTTATGAACAAGAGACCTCATTTTCCACTGGACTTTGAAAACTATGTGGCTGGTCTTGGTTGGAAGTTTTTGCGAGGCTGTTCACATTGCTACATAGATTTCTTCCATTACTCTGCTCTGTGGTTAACCCTTTCAATGTGCTTAGCCTGTTGGCCTGCTGTGAGTTGGGTTTGTGAGTTCCCATGTGTTCTAGACTGCAGAGTGTGGGCCTCTTCGAAGCGGATTTGTCCTTTCTACCCTTATAAACTCCAGGTCAGCGCCTGTGTCTTGCACAGACAATTTAGCAGGTTCCTCCTCTCTTCCCCAAATGACCAGAGCTTCATGTTGTTTTCACCACAGGTGCTCTAAGTACATACCACCCTTTTAGAATCCGCATTAAAGGTAGTCGAGTTCTTCTGAAAACTTTGCCTGGGCAAAGATTAGTGTAAATCTGTGCTACTTTGAGCATGCCGCATTTACCTTCATAGGCCTTGAATGTGGCAAACGACAGAGACCTCTGGTGTTGCACTCATCTTGCTCAAACATCTGCTGACTTTTAACATTTGGTTTTCCACAGGTCAGAGTCTCCCTTAAGATTTGAAAGTGGCTCCTTTGAATGAGCAAAATGCAATTTAACTACAGCTCTGTAGCATTTCTACAGCCAAAACCCCATGAGCTGCAGCAAGAACTCGCTACCTCCCTACTGTATCCCCATACACAAAAGGCCCAGAGGAGGATCAGATGGCCCGTGGGTAATATAGCTCCTTTAATATTCCAGCAATCACTTTCTTCTCCCCTGCTTCCCTCCCAGAGCAGAGCAGGAAAAAACCAAACATTGTCCTACGCAAAAATGGGGCCTAATGCCCCAAGGGGGAAAGGAGGAGAGAGAGAGAAAGGTGCCTTGCAAATTTGGGAAATACTTACGATAGCAATTTAAACGGTATCATCCCTGGGCCTGGCACAGTGGCTTATGCCTGTTATCCCAGCACTTTGAGACGCCAAGTCAGGCAGATCACTTGAGGCCGGAAGTTCAAGACCAGCCTGGTCAAAATGGTGAAAACCTGTCACTACTAAAAATACAAAAATTAGCTAAGAGTAGTGATGGGCACCTGTAATCCCAGCTACCCAGGAGGCTGAGGAGAATCGCTTAAACCTGGGAGGCAGAGGTTGCTGTGAGCTGAGATCGTGACGCTGCACTCTAGCCTGGGCGACACAGCAACACTCCATCTCTAAATAAATAAATAACTGTATCATCCCTGAAAATGAATGTGCCCATTGGATGAGACTGGCAGACACAGCGTAAGAGGTGAAGAGATGAGCACACCTATAGCTCACCCTGGTAGAAATATTGAAAAATCTGACCAGTAGACTTCAGACCCACCTTTTTCCATGCAACAAGAAGTGCCCCCCACCCCCCGACCACCCTGCATCTTATTGTTTTGTGAGGTTTCAAGAGCAACAGCCATCATTCACCATTTAGTTGAAGTCCAAGATGTCTTCTGCAGACCAAATAACTACGGGTGTTTGGGAGCGGAGTTTTCCTGAATCAAGTGGGTGTGTACCTGAAGGCTGATGGGCTAGTTGTGACCTAGGTTGAGAACAGGAATCCACAGAGAGTGTTCTTCCTGTGATCAGGCTTTTATCTTTAAAGTGCATCCCCTTTGAGGTTCAGGGCAAAGTCCTAATTAGCAGGGTCTCGACTTTTCCTCTGCTATGTAGTTCTTTCCAAACCACAGGGCCTTGGATGGATTGAAGGGGCAGAGTGTCAATCTTTGGTCCAGGGAAGGGGTATCACCTTATCAAGTGGACCTGGACTCAGAGAGGTCAAGTCAGAAAGTAGAATAAGTCTGTCTCCTTTCTCAGTCAGTGAGAGTTAGCTGCCCTCTGAACAAAGAAAGGGCTGAGATTGAACATTCAGGTAACTGAAAGAAGCTGGCCTCCTACTGTGGCCTAGCAGGGGCACTGTACTTCTTATGTTCATCTTCAAAAGGAATTCTGTGGAAGGGGCATTCTGTATCAAATTGCTACCCAATTTCTAAACCACCAAGGACCCAGATGGCCTGAATGTTTCCCTTAGAATGGCTGAACTTCAGACAGGCTTCTTCCTGACTTGAGGCTCTGACCTCTCTTTTCTTAGGGCAATGTTTTTTTCGAGACAGGGTCTTGCTGGACTCAAGTGATCCTCCTACTTCAGTAGCTGGGACCACAAGAGCGCACCAGCATGCCTGGATCATTTTAAAAAAATTTTTTTGAGATGGAGTCTCACTATGTTGCCCAGGTCTTATTTTCTTTAGGAAACTTAATTGTAAATTTGTTCTCTGCCCCTTTGAGATATATGTAAATCTTTCAAAACATCCCTTGCTAGTTTTACTACCCACATATGTGTTTCTCAAGGATCTGGAATCAATGTTCTTGAAATATAATCATCAAAGAAGATAGCTTTGAGAATCATAACATATCCTGTGGAATGATAGGAGCCTAACTTCAGTGGGTGCCTTGCTCCAAGTTGTAAAACTACCAACTGTCATAAAGATATGAGAAGTTTGCTTTCCTTTGGGCAAAGTTAATTAGCAAACACAGATAGCCCAGTGATTCCCTCTCACTCCGGTGCTCAAAGACTCTACAACCCTTTTTTTCAGTGGAGTTGAATTCAGACTGAGTTCTGGCCTCTCTCCCCTATTGTAATCACCTTAAATAAAGTCTTTCTTGCCTGTTTAAATTTTTGGGGTGCAACTTTTGCTTTAACATCAACAATGTAAGTAAACTCAACTAAATGTGCTGTGTCCCTACAAACCCTGGTTGCTTTGCAGCAGGAAAAGATCCATGATTAAATTGCATGAGGTGCATGAGGCAAAATGCCTCTTGGTTTGTGACACAGGAAGGAGGGATGTCACCATCGTAACTGAAACATTGTGAGGGAGCAGCCAGAGGCTGGCTGGAGCTGAGCTGGGATAGAACACCTACTTACCTCACCCCAGGCATGACTCTAAGCACCTTGCAAATAATTCCCCATTTAATTCCTCCAACAACCTTATGAAACAGATTTTTTTTTTTTTTTTTTTTTAATGAATCTTGCTCTGTCCCTAGGCTGGAGTGCAGTGGTGAGATCTCGGCTCACTGCAACCTCCACCTCTCAGGTTCAAGCGATTCTCCTGCCTCAGTCTCCCGAGCAGCTGGGACTACAGGCATATGCCACCAGGCCCAGCTAATTTTTGTTATTTTTAGTAGATACGGCGTTTCACCATGTTGACCAGGATGGTCTCGATCTCTTGAACTTGTGATTCACCGACCTCAGCCTCTCAAAGTGCTGGGATTACAGGCATGCGCCACTGTGCCCAGCTGATTTTATAGCCCCATGTTTTCAGATGAGGTACACCTCTGACACACAGACATTTGGTGAGCATAGAGCACTGGCACTTTGGTTCCAGGATTTGTGTTTTAACCACTAGCTTATACTTCTATATTCTGCAGCTAGAACCAAGGAGCACAAATCCCAAGGCGTGGTAGCAGACCCCTAAGACCTGATCAGGTAACCAGGAACACATCAGAGAAGTCTCTGTCTCTACCAGAGAGCAGTTTTCTATCTCAGGACTAAAGCAGCCCACAACAGGGCCACCACAGCATCCACCATTGATATCCCCTGTCTCACAGGATAGGACAATTCTGCATCTTACCAATTCCTAAGGTCAGAGGGGTTTTCTCCATAAAAGCCTATGTAGGTTCTTTCTATAAATCTGCTTTTACGCAACCACATGCCTGGTAGTTCTAGGAAGAAAAAGCCTGTTTTTCTGCTAGGGTGCCAAAAGGTGGCAGTGTCTAAGAACAACTGAATCGTATCGAAGCTGCTTCCTCTGTGCAGTTCTGAGGTGACCTTGGCTGATCTCTGCAGTATGTGCTGAAACTGAAATGGGGGCTTTGACTGCCATCAAGGGCAAACCACATTCTGCACTCAGTATGCTGAGTGCCATTTTCCCCTGCCGCTTGCTCCCTTACAACTTACTTTCCTCCCTTGCTGCTTCAAAAAATGTGTGAGAAGCCCTTTGACAGAGCACGTTGATGCTTGCACAGAGAAAAGAGAAGTAAAGTTGCTTTTGCAGCTCAACTACACAAAAACAAATCCCTTTACTGCCTCCCCACGTCCCCCAGTGTAGCCCCTGGACGTCTCTGTCTGGATGGCTGCAGGCTAGGACACCAGACTCACCATTTCATTCCCTGAACCTTCCTTTTCCCATCTGTGAAAAGAGAATCTCAATATCTTGCTTAGTACTCTCCAGGGCTGTTGTGAGGCTCAAATGAGATAATGTATGTAAAGCACTTTGTAAACTGTAAAATGCTTTACAAATGTAAGGGATTATTATAAACCACAATACAGTGATGTTTTATGCTTTTATAAAACTACTGGCTGGAACTGCTGTAAGGGGAATCCCTCTGGTGATTTTTATTTTGGAAACAGGAGGACTTAGGTTTGCCTCCTTGCCAGGAATTGGATTCCTGGCAGCAGCTGTTTATTCCATTTCGCTCGGCGACGCACATATGGCCACAGCACGCCTCCTGCAGAGCTGACAATATGTACTACTGTGTTTGAGCACATCCACGGAAAGCCTCCTTTCTCCACCCTCACTATTTCTAACTTGCCAAGTCTAACACCTAGGAAATACAGACTTTCACACCGCATTTCACCACAGCAGCGTTTGTTTTCTTAGATGAGGTTTTTTCCCCCTTAGCAACCAGAATTTTACAGTCAGACTCTCACCATAAAAACAGTCTTCTCTTGAGCAGATTGAAAAAATTGGATGCTGTTTTTTTCAACTTTGACATGGTTAAAATGAAAATGATATTAATATTTGTCCCAAGAAGGAGCTTGGACCAGTTGAAAAGGATTAAGGTACTGACACGTTCTTTTTCCCTTGTACCTGCAGTGCACAGATAGACTGGACCAGCACTGAGTGACGGTGCTCAAGCTTTCTGCTGCAATGGACCAACGCACTGCCACTCTGCTCAAATACCTGCACAGAGCAGCTTTATAGATAACCACTCACTGCTCTCTGAGGGGTTTGAGATCATTTGATGTCTGGGAACTACTACTGGCTTGTAAATGTCAAGAGAAATTATGAACATTTGTAGAAAAGTAACTGTTTGACTAATTTCCTGTACCATGGAGCAAACACACTGCCCTATGTATTTAGAATCTGGTGCTGCCAGCCAGGCCATGGCAAGCTTCAATGTTATAGGATCATAAATGGGATTAGATAAGCCAGACAGTGTGGCTCAGACTCCAGCACTTTAAAATATTATTAAAACCCCCAGAAAAGGCAAACAAGTTTGAGGGGAAAGTAAGATGTAACAGACTCCCACCAAGAGAGAAAAGAATCTTGGGTATGATTACTGGGAACTTGGTAACGGCCCCGGAGCACTTCTAGAGTGCACTTTAGAGCACTTTAGAATCAATCAACATTTTAGGATATAAGACATAATGCAACAAGTCATGCTTTAGAGCTCAGAAAGATTTTTCTATTTGATTTGATCCGTGGAAAAAAAATTAAGGAAAGGACAAAGAAAACTTACTGAGAAGACCAAAATCAACATTAGGAATTTGTCGAGTTCTGAAGACCTGAATGCAGTGCCCCACCTGGAAGTCTTTGCGTTTTTAATTATGTTTCTTTTTAATTGACCAGATTAATTATTTCCACCTTGCTACTTGGCAGGTAGGGTCACGGTTCCTTTTCACAGCATTAATGAACTGATTCACTTTTTTTCCATGTAATTAAGACTGTGAGTTGCAGATCACATTCTTAAATTGGCTTAGTGTACAGCCATTCAGTCTTTATTAAACAAAATATATGACATCAGGTATTTCTCACTGAAAAACAGTGTTGAGTTTCTATTGAGTTTTCCTCCAGTTGGGAGAAGAGAGTGGTGACTTTGTTCTTTTTATTTTTTTGGAGAAGAAACACAGACCTGTAAAGGTTATAGCATCCAGGGTGGTGTTTCATTCTTAATATACTCAAAGTCTGAAGATTTAAAGGGCAGCTAATGGATTCATGCTCAGGTGTTTCTATTGCCACCAAAATTCTGACCAGGTCCTTTCATGAGCTATTTGAAAAGAAATAACTTCGGGTATGCCGTTAAGTTAGTTAAGTGAGATATATTGCCCTCTTCTGTTAGCTTTATTTCTAGGTCATTTAGGAAACCCTAGGAACATTAAGAGTTTCTCAGGCATTGACTCCAGTAGCTGAACACAGTGCAGAAGGCTGTCTGTGGTGTCTACAGTACTCAAGAGAGCAAACTTCAAGCCAACGCTAACTGTCTCTCAAAGCATTTGGTTTCATTCAGGACTTCTGGATCTCAAGGTGATTCCCAGAGGAACTTAATTTAGAAGTAAAGGGTAAGGTGCTGTAATCTTTCCAGGACCTGAAAGGGATTTGCTCCATCAAGTCTGGTGGAGCACCTGATCAAGAAAGAAACTGATGGACAGACATCTGAATGCTGGTCCTCTTTGACGCTAGCGAAAGACAAGCAATACACATTTGAAATATTAAGAATATTAGTGCATTGCTTTTACATATTAAAAGCTTGTGAGAAATTCACTGTATTGTCTGAATACAATGGGGTTGGGATCAAAGGTACAACAACTGGTGTTTTTTCATTTATTACTTCACTTCTTAGTAGAAATGGAATCTTCTAGTTACAGGTAATAACTGTGACCAATATACTCAAGTATGTAACATAACAGTTCCTAATTTTTTAATGGAACCTATATTTAGCAATCTTCTGTCCCACAGTCGTAAAACTTTATGGTGTTCTTTTTCTACTGAGATTTCAGGTGGTTAACTGCTGTATTTCCTTCCAACCCAAAATTCAAGTGTGGTAATGATATCCATGTGCTTCGAAAAAGGTATGTTGGCCTGTGGTTATGTTTTAAACACACATACTCACATAGACTCAGAGTCACCTGGAATGGCATTTCATTTTTGTCTCATGCATAGCAGACTGTGTCCTAACAAAAAACATTCAAACGTAATTGCAGCATGGCTTAGTGTGACTTTGTCTTTTGCACTAAAAAGGACAGTTTAAATGCTTTTTACCCATTGCTGTGATGGCTTGAAACGGTGTGCAGTCTTTACACAAACAGGCCATTTCAAATCCATGTTATAGACATGTGTGGAAATGGTGGTAATGAGAAGAAAAACACACCAATTTCAGGGAGTTAGAGTCTTTGTACTTGCTGTTAGAGTCCTCTTTGTGGCTTGTACCCAAAGTATTTTGTGCTGGGTAAAGCCGAAGACTGGGTCTCTGGAAAACACAGTGATTAAAGAGAAATGTGCTCAGAGAAGGAAACTAACCAAACTAGGGAACCACCTCAGTGTATTACCAGTTTTGGCCGGGCCAGTTTCGCCACAGCAGCAGAGTCATTCTCAATGACAGTGAGCCCATCTCTTTGTCCCTCCAGGAATGCAATGCCAAGAAGCAAAACATCTGCTTGGGGAAATCTTTGGGTATCATAAAAGTTCCCTGCTCTCCCTTCAATCAGATCTTCCTCCTGCGCTGGCGTGGAGGGCTGCCAGACACAGCACTTGGGGAAGCCTGCATACTATGATGGCCAGATCAGCTACTCTCCATTCTGGGCTAGGTCCTCTGGAGTCTCATTTTCAGCAATACCTCCCCTCTGTGCATCCCGGTTTCCCTTTTTCACAGTTAACTTACCTCCTTCCAGGCTGGAGTCTGGATCAGGAGCTTTGGAGACTCAAAGGGGAGAAAAATTGGAATGTCTGGGTTAGGTCTTGAGAGTTTATTCCACTGTATGAAATACTCCATACACCATTTAAGATTGACAACCATGAGGAATCTATCTAGTGATTACAGTGCTGGTTTTTCATTTCCTGAGGTTTTGTATAACATGCTATTTTATGCACAGCAATACTGATATTTTTATTGGTGTAATAATGTTATTTTGGCCATCAGTTAACTTGGTTCTCTCTCTTCAATTCTACCCCACCTGTCTTCTACCTACCTCCCACCCCAGTCACTGATACTCTCACCACAAGCCTCTTCAGCCCCTTTACCACTCAGCTTTTGTAACTCCTTGGCTTCTCTTCCCCAAAACCCAATGGTTTAGCTAGATTTGGTGGGAGGAGTCAGATCTCCCTGCCTGGGAAGGGGAAGGGTACATCCCAGGTGGGCATATCCCTGCTAGTCAGCTGGAGAGATCACACTGCTGCAGCTGGAAGTTTACTAGCCAGATTCGGGAGTGGTTCAGATATGGTGGGCCAGAGAGCTCCACTCAAGCGAGCCATAGTGGCAGGAAGGGCTGAAATCCTGCTGGGCCACAGACTTCAAAGGCAGCAACTCCAAGGGAGGCACCAGCCAGGGTCAGGGACAGAAAATTCCATCATTTATAAATTACCTAGTCTATGGTGTTTTGTTACAGCAGCACGAATAGACTAAGACAGTGGGGGAAGTATAATTTTCTCCCAGGGAGAAACAGCAAATATTCTGAATAATAATACCATCTATCATAAGCCCCATTATCAAACAAACATATATATATAAAATGAAAAGTCTGGCAGAATGAGAAAAGTTACAAACATTTGTCATTATCAGGGAGAGAAAGCTTGACATTTCTTTGACAAATATAATTCATCAATATAATTCCCTCTATAACATAAGACAATATAGAGCCACATGGTGGAGCTCAGCAGCTTGGTGGTAGACACAGTGTGGCCCAGAAAGGAGAGAGTAGCTGAGAAAGAAGAAACAGCACAGATTATTGGGGCCAGTGCCAAGGGGCAGGTGGCTTTGAGAGCCAGGATGTCTTTGACCCTCGCCTTTTTGGTTACATAATTTCCATTGACCTCACTTATATTCAGCCTGTAACCTAACACAGGAATCTCCTTTCAAGATCAGATTGAAAGGGCTGAAATATCTCTGCCCATTTGCTTGAGCCTTTGATAGCAAACAGCTCTGAGCAGTCACTATCTCCTTTATCCACCACCACCTCTTCCCCTCAACCAGAAGGCAGGGAGAACTGGCTCATCATCAGGCAGACATTTCCATATCTGCTTGGATTGTATTTAGTGATTACAGTGTAGTCTGTCCAGGGACCAGCCTGAATTCTTTGCCTCTTCCTCTAAGGAAGAATCCACTGCTTATGACCACAAAACTTTTGGCTTTGCCTGGAGACAAATTTGAGCTCTGGTAAGACCCTGGTAGGCTCAATTGTAGGTTCCCACACAGACCCACTGATCCCTGGAATGCAATCTGAATAACTGGCAGAGGGGCACAGCAGTTCTCAATCATGACCTTCTGGAACCTCATACCCAGAGACACTTAACTCTGAGCCACATGCCCACTAGCAAGGGACGGGTCCTAGTGGCCAGCTGCTTGCACAACAGGCTGTAATGGAGCTGCATGAGCAAGCAGGCCTGGACTGGCAGGCCCTTGGTGGCTCTCTGCTCTAGTCCCATCTGAAATATGAGGATGATTAATTGGAAACATCCCTATTAGAAACTCACCTTCTTGCCATGCCTGACTATTCCTTTGAATGCATTAACCCCACCTCCATGTATCCCAGATCCTTTATGGAGGTAACTGGTTTTGAGAAGGAGGTGTAAAGCTGCCCTAAGCAAAGATGAAGCTCAATGGAATGTATGTGTAAGAAGTAACCAGATTATCAGACTGGGAGAACGGTTTCAAGGTGAAACTGTCTCTAAGGCTGAGGGACTGTGCCCCCTCCAGACTAGGGGACAGTCAGTGGTGGATATGCAGCTATGTCAGCTAATCCAAGGCAGTGAACAACCATCAGAATCCACTATTATTTTTATTTTAAAAATATTTATCTGCTTGGTATCCTCCCCTCCAAAAACACCTGTCTTCTAAAAGGAGTTCAGCTTCACTGGCCACAGGGATAGGAACATACAACACAGTTTGGCTCAATCACAGGACCTCAAACACTTGGCTCTAAAAGGTGGGGGATGATCTACCTGAGACTAAATGACATCTTCTGTTTAAGTGGCAACTTGCCTCTTGTCCTCTTGTCAGGGACAAGTCCAGATGACTCACCCTGAAATGCAGGCCTCTTAGGTCTCCAGTTGAGGGTGATTCATCTGGTCTTGTCCCTGGCAAGACAGTTCAGTGGCATGGACAGCCCCTGAATTCAAGTGTGGCTGAACTACCTGTTTATCGTTTGTATATTTGTTTTGACAGTATGCTGGAACCCACTGCTTATGACCACAAACCCCGAAACCTTGCCATTTCCCTCCAGTTATGAAGCACGTTCTGTACCCTTGTTGTCCCAACCCATGTTCCTTGTAGTCCACCATTCCTGGAAGCCACTGGATATCTTGGCCCTGACCATTTATCATTCAAAAGCCAAGGGCCATGGGAAGTGCCAGCTCAGCTCATCCATCTGGACATCCCTCAGCCACTTCTATCTTCCAGCATCAGGGAGGAAGTGGAGCTGTGCCACTCATGGGTCTTCTGAGAAATATTCAGTCTTTCCAGCTATCCCTGAAGAAGAAAGGAGTAATAATGCTCTTAGATGTTCCCCCAAGTCTATTTGCGTGTTTCCCCTATAGCACTTTCCAGGTTGAACCTCAAGTGAACTAAGAGTTAAGAACACTCGGGTCTGACCTTTTGCCTTTCTTCCTCTTTCCTGCTCAGAAAGGCTTTCTACTTCCCCTTCCTCTTTAATCAGAACCGTGCCTAGGTCATGTCCTCCTTCTCTACATAGCACTTGCCTTCCTCCCCTTTCCCTTCCCTGGGAAAGTGATACTGCTGTGGCTGCAGAGAAAGAAAGTGAATTTCCAAGATGAGAAAACAACTGGAAAGTGTCTTCAAAATAGTGTCCCTATTTCTCCAGCAAAACTCAGCAATCATAGATGAGTTTCCTCATATTTATTCATTCAACAATCGTTTACGGAGGAGCTGGAGACAAGTCTTTGCTTGCAATAAAGTCAGAGTTTTATGGGAAGGCCAATGAGCAGCTAACAATTACAAATATCTCAGCAGCTTTCACACTGAATGATATTTTCTCAATTCCACATGTTTTCCCCTAAAAGATAGGGAGAACTTTGACCAAGGGCTGTGTCCTATTCCATAGCACCTAACACAGATGATGCTTTAAAAAGTTTGTTGAATATATGAATGAATGAATGAACAAATGTAAAGAATAGTGTTGTAAGGGCATACATATAGGGCACTATAAAAACACAGAGAAGGGCTTTGCACTTTCACTGGGATGGGGAAATGAGGCCTTAGTCAGGCAAAAAGTTCAAGGAGAAGTTGATATTTGTGCTGAGTCTTGCTTTTCAGCAAGCATTGAGAGGTGGAGAAAGCACATTCCACACAGAGATACTATGATGGAAAGGATCCCACCATGTCTCGGAAATTGCATGTTGGAACTGCAAATTGCAACACGCCTAGAGTCCTTGTTGGGGACACGAAGCTGGTGACTGAGCAAGACCTAGACTACATAGGGCCTTGTATCTATGCAAGCACTGTGTGAAGATTTTTACTCCAGGTGGAGAGGAGTTTTGTCTACTTGTTCCCCATTGTATCCCTTTTCCTTTTTTTTTTTTTTTTTTTTTTGGTAGAGGTAGGGTCTTGTTTTGTTGCCCAGCTGGTCTTAAACTCTTAGCCTCAAGTGATCCTCTCACTTTGGCCTCCCAAAGTGCTGGGATTACAAGTGTAAGCCTCCCTTGAAGTTTAATCAGTTTCTTCTTCTCCATCTTTTTAGTTTACATGTGGTTTCAGCCAGCCATGGCCCAGACTCAACGTCAAGTCAGTCAGCTCTACAGCTCGTGCCCCTGGACTGCCTCCATCACTCCATATTTCCTAATTCAAATTTCCAGGAGCACAGATCAGATTTTCCCAGAGGGTCACATTATGGGTCAGCCAATTGGATGTCTGTTCTGGGTAAGGTGCCCAGCCTAGGCTGCCAAGGCAGGTCACATGGTACCAGAATTGGCCATGTTGGCAAAAGGGCTGTGAGCATGTGGCATTCCCTTGGGGGCTGCGTTAGTGAAGCAGGTACAGGACTGACACAATCGGTACAGTCCTCAGAGAGATGGAAGGAAGAGGCCAGGACTGTGTCTTTTTCTGATTTGCATACTCAGTGCTTAAATAGTGCTTCACATACATTGAATCAATGGATAAATGAATGAATGAACATATGAGGGAATATGTGAAATTAATGAAGCAGAAGCAAGTGCTGCTCAGAAGACAATTCCTGTAACACCAGAACAAGAAGGAGCCTGGACACTGCTCAGCAGCCCTCTTGAACCAGAGCTGTGCCCCTAGGAAAACTCTGTTCCTAGACCCAAGTCCTGGCCCCTCACAGGGTGCCCCTTGAAGCATGAGCAAGGAAAAAACCCTGTCTGCCAGGCGTTTCACCCAGAACCTCCATCTGGCTGTGAAAACTGCCCCTGTGCCAATGACAGGAGCTTGACCCAAGAGGCCTCTGGCATAGGAGAGGACTTTAGTTGCACTCCCTAATTAATCTCAGGTTTGGCAAGAGTGACTGGAAATGTCTGACCCCTCTAGTCAAACAGATGCTTCCCCTGAGCTCTGACAACCAACAAAGTTGTCAGTTGTATTGAGAAACAAGAAGCCATAATATTATTTAAGAGTCCCATGCCTTTGCTTGAGAGACACGGAAAGGAAATTACTGGGCTTGGACTCAGAAAGGATGAGTTTCAGTTTCAGTTTGGTCCCAGGTAAGTCATTTGACTTCTAAGGCTCTCACTTTCCTTAAAATTGAGGATAATCACTCTGTTCTTCCTACATCTCATTTGGTTGCAGTGAAGGTCAATTTAGATTCCTTTTGAGGAAAGAGAGTAAATGAGTGGAACACTGTACAGATATGAGGAACTATTACTAGCATCAACAACAATTAGCAAACAAATGGATGGTGATGGGCACATCTGGAGGTAAAAAGCTCAGCTAGGAGGCTGCTGCAGGTCACCAGCCTGCAGGTGATGCCATTTTCAACCAAGCAGAGGCAGCAGGGATGGGGAAAAGACACAGAGACCCTCTCTTGAATTTTTGATACATATGAGGCTAAACTATTTAATAAATGAACTAATTAAGTATAATCAGCAATTCTTTGGGAAGAAATCATCCTACTTATCAAAACATTACTTGTTATAGTAATTTCTGAATTCTGAATTTCACTCCTATTTTTGTAACACCAGTAAATGTGCTACATATTTTATTATTGCATTCATCGCCTGATTTAATGTATTTGTTAATTTTTTTTTTTTTTTTTCTTTGAGACAGAATCTTGCTCTGTCCCCAGGCTGTAGTACAGTGGTACGATCTCAGCTCACTGGAACCTCTGCCTCCTGGGTTCAAGCAATTCTCCTGCCTCAGCCTCCCAAGTAGCTGGGACTACAGGCACACGCCACCACACCCAGCTAATTTTTGTATTTTTAGTAGACATGGGGTTTCACCATGTTGGCCAGGATGGTCTCGATCTCTTGACCTCATGATCCACCCACCTCGGCCTCCCAAAGTGCCGGGATTACAGGTGTGTATTTGTTAAATTTTTCACCTCTTCTTCTAGATTTGAATCCCTGCAGGGCAATGGCCTGCTGAATTACTATTTGAAACCTCTCTTGGCTCCCAGCATACTGCTTAACACGTAGTCAACATGTAATGTTTGATGGATGAATGAAAGTTTAATCATATCACCATGGATTGATTTATTACTTCAAAACTTTACAATAATCTCGCAGGGCAGATATTTTAATTCCCATTTTATAGATAAAGTAAGACTCAAAGATGTTAAGTAACTAAGTTGCCCAAGGCCCCATAACTGGTACAGCCTAGATTCCAAAGGGCCTGCTCCAGAGCTTGCTCGGCCTGCTTCCCCAGTGCCTGGCTGAAAAGAACAACCCCGGGTGGGTATGTCCTTGTAATTTGGAATTTATCTTGAAGTTGCTGAACTTCCATTCCCTCCAGCACTTGCCTTGGTTGGACACACATTTCACTGTGGGGAGAAGGGAAATGGCTTCTTGAAGGAAGGCACTGCTATGAAGGCCATGGGAAGGTTGAGTGTTTAAGACTTCTGAAAACAATCAGCTTCTGGGCCAAGGTCCTCCAGGATAAATCTGATAGAAACTTTTTAGCAGAGCTAAGGGAACTTCATTGCTCTGAGCTTTAGAAAATCTAGCACTTCCCTCCTTGTCCCATGGGTTCTTTTTGTTTCAGGACAAGGATGGCACAGGGCCAGGTCTCCACACCTGTACAGCCAGGAAGGTGGCAGGCAGGGATTGTCCAGTAGGAAAGGAGGTTCTTAATAGTAGTTTAGAATGTATATTTATTTTTATTTTGTTTTTGAGACACAGTCTCATCTGTCACTCAAGCTGGAGTGCAATGGCACTATCTCAGCTCACTGCAACCTCCACCTCCCAGGTTCAAGGGATTCTCACACCTCAGTCTCCCAAGTAGCTGGGAATACAGGTGTACCACCACACTGAGCTAATTTTTTTTTTTGTATTTTTAGTAGAGACGGGTTTTGCCATTTTGGCTAGGCTTGTCTTGAACTCCTAGCCTCAACTGATACACCTGCCTCGACCTCCCAGTGGTGATATTACAGGCGCGAGCCAGTGTGCCCAGGCTCAGAATGTGTAGTTTTTAAAGGTGGCTTGTCATTAAGAAGGAAAACCAATCCGCTGCTACATGCTTGTTATGTCCCTGTTGGGTTTTTTTCAGTTATCAGAAGCACATCCAACCTGCCTGATCCAGCAAATACACTCACAGTCAAACATGTTCCTCTACTTGAGAACCCAGAATTCAGTGCTCTTCATAAAACATGATTAAAAATTGCTACACTGAATGTCATCATGCAAATCAGGGCCAACTTTACTCAGAGACAATTGGTACCAGGCACTAAAGATTTAAGGATATTTAACAAAACTCAGAGAGTACAGAAGGGTACAAAATGATGAGCAAATGTCTCCTTCCTGAACTACCACTCATACGGAGCCCTAAAGTTAACCCTGAAAAATCCCTGAATTTGCCTGAGCCAACCAGTCCATCAATCAGCACACACTTTCTTCTGAGATATGAGATCAAAGATGAGTCTCAGGCTGGGCGCGGTGGCTCACACCTATAATTCCAGCACTTTGGAAGGCTGAGGTGGGTGTATCATGAGGTCAAGAGATTGAGACCATCCTGGCCAACATAGTGAAACCCCGTCTCTACTAAAATACAAAAATTAGCTGGGCAAGGTGGCGTGTGCCTGTAGTCTCAGCTACTCTGGAGGCTGAGGCAGGAGAATTGCTGGAAGCTGGGAGGTGGAGGTTGCAGTGAGCCAAGATTGTGCCACTGCACTCCAGCCTGGTGCCTGGCAAAAGAGCGAGACTCTGTCTCAAAAAAAAAAAAAAAAAAAAAAAGATGAGTGTCTCCCTTCTCTCCCCTTAAGTAGAGAGACGTGCACATACATACAAGGAGAGCTGACCATCCAAGGAGATATGTGATAAGAACACAGGAGTGGACCAGACATTTCCCTGACGGCAGTTGGAGCACAGATAATTTAAAATCAGACTTTCCCCACCACAACTTCTGTATTCTGAACTGAACCTGAGCTGAACGTTAGACTTTGAACTCCAGTTATTTATGACCCTGTCATTCTTCTATGAAACAGGCAACTAAGTTCCTCAGAGCCTTCTCAGATAGCACCTAGTACAATGCCTGGAACATCATAAGTGCCCAGTAAATAATAAATTTATACCTAAGGCCTGATATTTACACCTAATATCAGTTATCTCATACTTAGATTTCTTATGTGTATAGGATAGATCGTGAGTGCCTGCTCAGGGCAATTCTTCTGTTATTATCATTGCCTTTGATATTTCTTTCTAGAAACGTAAAACACAAACATCTCAGTATTGATACCCTTTGACAGCTTACTTTTGGAAGGAGGATGGGGAAGAAGGTGATAAACCTCTTTGTTTAAAGAAAGCTCAAAGGATTGTAGAGACAGAAGTGAATCCTGATCCAACTACTGACAGATGTTCTGCAATCGCTCCTGGCAACAGGAGACATGAAGAGAGCCGAATTTTTTTGTTGGCTACAGACCTGCCCGAATGTGACAAGGAGAACCATTCATTAAAGCCCCCAAGCCAGCTCCAGGGTTCCAGGGTGGGTCTACCTCTCTGGACCTGCACCTGGACCAGAGGCCTGGAAGATTACCTTGATGGCCACATTCATTTGGCAGAAATGAGAAGGCACGGAGCTCTCCAGCAAGCTGCACCGAGTGGCTGTGTTTGTAATCTTCTGGCACTTGCAGTCCTGGCTGACTGGCTTTCCAGCTTTCTCTGGCACTCAGATCTGGCATTTCAGAAACTACTGGCAGCAGATCTTGGAATTGGTACCTTTAAAAATAAAAGTAAGGAAAGCTAATATTGCACTGGCAAAGCTCACCTGAGACCATCTCCATCTGTCGTTCCCTCCCTTTATGACTCCACTTTCACTTTCTCTCTAGCAGTCAGAGCCCCTGCTGTCCTTTCCATGCCCTCACTGGGGACAGTCCTGTGGACGGTCTTCCACCATTCCCTCAATTATGACTTCCTCCTCCATAGAGTCTGACAGCTGGGAAAGGCAGCTGAAGTAATTTCCATAAGGTTGTCAACTGAGCCTGGGCCGGATGGGAAGATGGTTTCAACATGAAGGGACAAACCTGACTCCCTGCTGCAGATGGGCAGAGGGACTGTGCAGAGCATGTGACGGCCATATGAGGCGGCTGAACTCTGGCCTCCACCCACAGCCCAAGGAGGGCCCAACAGAAACAGTTGTGGGATACTGGGCCCTTCTTGCCACTCTCTGGACATCAACTAGGGTTCTTAGTTAAAAATAATGGATATTAAGTATGTAAAATTAAAAAAAAATTTACTGAAAGGATACAGGCTAGTTCACAACATCAAAAGAAATGCTGAATCCCTTAGTCTTAGAAAGGGCAGGAAGAAGGGAAGGTCCTGGGAGCAAGGTAACAGGGCATACAGTACAGATTATCCATCAGGACATTTTCTGTCCAGTATCAAGCTGTTCAAGATTCCTGGTGAAGGCCAAGCATAGTGGCTCACGCCTGTAATCCCAGCACTTTGGGAGGCCAAGTTGGGTGGATCACCTGAGGTCAGGAGTTTGAGACCAGCCTGGCCAACATGGTGAAACTCCGATTCTACCAAAAATACAAAAATTAGCCAGGCATGGTGGCAGCTCCTGTAGTCCCAGCTACTCTGGAGGCTGACAGAAGAGAATCAGGGAGTCAGAAGTTGCAGTGAGCCAAGATTGCATCACCACACTCCAGCATGGGCAACTTCATCTCAAAAAAAAAAAAAAAAAAAAGATTCCTGGTGAATCTATTTGACTATGTTGGGATCAAGTGACCCAGCAAAGCCAATTACATTGTCTTAATTTGATTGCCAGACCCACTAAGACTTTACAGAGCATGGGGAAGGGCTTGATCTACCAGGTTGAAAGAACAACTGGGTGGTCAAAATGGCAGGTGTCCACCTTCAACCCAGAGAAGCCCCTTTTCCTCTCTTCTTTTCTTTCTTTTCTCTTTTCTTTTTTGCCCTCCCCTCCCCTCCCCTCCCCTCCCCTCCCCTTCCCTTCCCTTCCCTTCTTCCCTCCTTTCTCTCTTTCTCTCTCTTTTTCTTTTTCCCGAGACAGGTCTTGCTCTGTCGCCTAGGCTGGAGTGCAGTGACGAGATCTCGGCTTGCTGCAGCCTTGACCTCCCTGTGATCCTCCCACCTCAGTGATCACTGAGTGATCAGTGATCCTTCCACCTCAGCCTCACGAATGGCTGGGATTACAGGCATGCAACACCAGGCCAGGCTAATTCTTGTAATTTTTATAGAGACAGTGTTTCACCATGTTGGCTAGGCCAGTCTTGAACTCCTGAGTTCAAGCAATCCTCCTGCCTGGGCCTCTTATAGTGCTGGGATTACAGGCATGAGCTACCACACTTGGCCTCCCTTTTTTTCCCACACCTGTGTTTGCTCTAACTTGCCAACAACTGGATTTTACTGCAAGAAAAATGGCGAAGACCTCAGGAAGCCAAGAACAGGAAGGGATTGATTACTGTTTGCAAGTAGTTTAGCTATCAAGAGGTGAGTCCTGGAGCAGATTTCTGCTCCCCTGAAATCTAGAACAGAGGAAGGCCATTTACCAAGCCAAGAACCTGAGTGACCCACAGTTCTCCATTGCCTTCTCTCTTCCCCACAAATCAAATAGGGCATCAATTTATTTCATTTTATCCCCCAAACATCTTTCATTAATATATAACCTGTCAAGCCTCAGCTTTTCACCTGCCCAGGGCCAGAGCCTCCTAACCAGTCTCTCTGCTTCCTTGAATCGTTGCTGACTGCAGCCAGAACTATCTTCCGGAAACCTAAATCAATCAAGATTCTCCCTCTCGGGGGCTTCTGGCTGCCTGTGAGACAGGCTTAGCCTAAATGTAAGGCCCTTGGGATTTGTCTGCAGCTCACTTCTCTTGGTCTTCTTGTGAGATTCTCCTTTCTTTACAGCTTTCATTGTTAAGTGAGGGTGTGAGAGGGAGGCCCTAGTCTGATAGAGCCGGTGTCCTTACGAGAAGAGAAAAAGACACCAGCACTTTCTCTTTCTGCCATGTGAAGACACAGCAAGAAGGCTTCCTGCAAAGCAGAAAGACAGCCCTCACCAGAACTGCCCCTGCCAGACTTGCATCTGAGGCTTCTGCCCCCAGAAGTGTGAGAAAATCAATTTCTTTTCTTTAAGCCACCTGGTCTGTGATATCTCTTATAGCAGCCTGAGCAGACTAGGGCAGGGGCATACCCTGAAATAGTCTGCAAAACCCTTATGTCTCTTTAAAAGTCTTTTTAAAATTTTACTTATCTATATTTATTTTTTTAGAGATGGAGTCTTGCTCTGTTACCCAGGCTGAAGTGCAGTGGGGCAATCATGGCTCACTGCAACCTGGAACTCCTGGGCTCAGGTGATCCTCCCACCTCAGCCTCCCAGGTAGCTGGGACTACAGGCATGTACCACCATGCCCTGCTGTTTTTTGGTTTTTTTTTTTTTTTTTTTTTTTTTTTTTTTTTTGTAGGAGCGGGGTCTCACTATGTTGCCCAGGCTGATCTCAAACTCCTGGCTTCAAGAGATCCTTCTGCCTCAGCCTCCCAACATGCTGGGAAGTCTTTTGTTTTAGGATAAGTTCTGATATTTTTGCATCCTGCCTCATACTAGCCTTACTGGCTTTAATAGAAATGTGTTATTTCCAATCATACATACAGTAAATCAAGCCATAGTGACCTGCTGACTTCTAGTATCCCCAGCCTGCCATGCCTTACCTTAGGGAATTTAGAATCCAATTTCAGAGTCCTCCTTAGTCATTCCCATGTAGAGGCTTTTGGATACTCTACTCTTTGCTGAAAAATTCTCCCCAACTCCCTTTTGTCCATTTGGCAAAGCCTTTAAAAAAAAAAAAACTCCAATGACCACTTCCTCTTTTAAGACCCTTCTAGCCCCACACCTCAATGCAGAGCTGACATCTTCATTTATGTGCTCACTGTGCCTTCTGCAGATGTATTACTTGCCCTTTATTACTTGCACATATGTTTACATGTATATGATGTCTACTGAATTGTAAGCTCTCTGAGGGCAGGCAGGAGGTCTGATTTATGAATCAGCCTAGCAGAGGGCCAAGCACAAAATATATGCTTGGTAATTGCTGAAGCATGAATGAATGAAAGAGTAAGTGAGTGAACGAATGAACAAATCACAAAGTAAATTAAAGCAGAGGGATTTTTCTGGGATGTTGGAAATGGTAATTAAATGTTGAAATACAGACAGTCCCTGATTTAAGATGTTTAGACTTATGATTTTTCAACTTTACAATGGTACAAAAATGATACAAAGCCAGTGGAAAGTGGTATGATACTCTTTCATGATCATGAGGGTAGAGAACCGATATTCTACAGTGAACTGTGTTGCCAGACAATTTTGTCCAGCTGTAGCCTAACGTAAGTGTTCTGAGCAATTTAAAGTAGCGAGGCGAAGCTACAATGTTAGATGTATTAAATGCATTTAGTGGGTTAGATGTATTAAATTAGGTTACAATATTTTCAGCTTACAGTGTGTTTATTGAGAGGTAACCTCATTGGAAGCCATGGAGCATCTGTATCCCCAAAGGTTGACAGCAAAACCTCCACGGCTATAGCCACTCCACTGCCTTAAATAGGGCTGGGGACTGGTTAGAGAGTCTCCTGAGATTTCTCCAACTCATTTTGTGTACGCCTGTTCTTCAACACCTCACTGCATCTCTTTTTGACCCCCACCCCTCACTCCCTCTGAGCTCTCTCTACTTTAGTTGAGTCACTATGTAACTCATGCTTGGAATACCACATTTATTTCTTATTTAGACCACCTGCCTAAAAGTACCTCTCCTTTCTATCAGTCTACATATGATCTACCGATTACTCAGAACTCCTGAGGTACTGACTCAGCCACCACGCACTTGAATGGATACATGTTAGGTGGTTTTGTGTAGAAATGCCTGTGTGTCTGTGCGTGTGCGTGCATGCTTCCCACCACTCGAATGTAAACTCTCTGTCTCCTCTGCGTCTTGCTCAGCTCTTGGCACCTGAAGCTGAATCAATATGACAGGGCAGGGAAGGAGGTTGTCAGCAGACAACTCTGCAGGGCTCACCCTGACCTCCTTGGCTTCATTTCCTACTGCTCCGGGTGTCAACTTCTGTCACAATGTTTGCTCTTGTCAGCTGAAGCACTTGTGACAACCTGTCAGGCTGGGGGTAATGACCTGCACCAGGACACAGCAGTGGGAGAAGGAACCCAAGTCTTGACAATTTCACTGGACAGCGTTTTCCTTGAAGCCTGATAGAACCAGTCAGAATCTTGTTCCTTTCTTGGCTCCTCCAGAATAGAAACTGTGTATACTTAGGGACATATTCTAACTAGTGGGAGATTCTCATTTTCTTTCTGAACAACAAGGATATTACAGTAGAGAGGAAAAAGAGGCAGAGAAAGGACCTCCAAAGAGCCAGGATATCCTCTCAGGCACTCCTGTTACATGCACACATAAGGGCCAGGGAGCCTACGGCTTGCATGGCCACTAAAATGGAGTCACAGCATAGTTCTCAACAATATCCTGCCCAGAGGGCTGCACTCGTATAGTTGGACGGAGCCTGCTTAAAACATGCAGGTGGTGAGCAGTCTTTCCTTCAGAGCGGAGTTCACGGCCACGACCATTTCTCACTGTCCCCAGCCATTCCTACTGCCATCTGCCAAAAGGGAAGAAAGAGAAGTTATTCACAGACATCATCACTTGCCCAGCAACTCAGACTCCCCACCAAATAAGGCAGCCAAGACAGCTCCTACCCTGGGACTGAATTAAAGAGAAGAATTTAAGAAAAAATAATTCTACTAGATGGCAAGACCCACAATGCTCTGGGGCCACATCTAATTAACTTACAGCCTCTGATGTCAACAGCTTCCAAGGCTGGTGTAGTGCATTTGCAAACACATTTCAGAAGAGTCAACGTGATCTGGTGTTGACACAAGCCCATAACTGTCAGAGGCAGTAGTTTTCAATTTATGGATGCCGTAAAGCTTTGGCAATATGATTGCTACAATGTGTAGTGTGTTTTTGACAATAAACAGGAGGTAGGGGGTTGGGGAGCATTGGTTCCACATTTAGCTATGGATGTAGGCTCATAAGGGCAAACCTGTAGTCATTTCTGCTATTGCAAAGCAGCTACAATAATGGCTCTAAACAATGAACCTAGGAATGTTATGTGGTTCTTTACTAGCAAACTCTGGACTTCTACATCAACTCAAAGGTACATTAGTCATTCAACACACATTCAATACCACCTACCCTATGTAAAGCACATAGTGAAGAATAAGTACAGAGTATAGTGGGAGCACAAGAAATGGATGGTAGGTTTACTTCCAAAGGATTCAGAAAATGTCAGATCTCCTTACTTCAAGAACCCTCCTAAGAAGAACCATGATGGGAGGAAAAAAGGAGAGGGGTGGTGACCACAGCTGTCATCAGCCTTTGCTTCTATCCTGACAAGATGTGAGTGTCCTTAGATGCAGGTGTGTGAGACTTGCTCATATTGTCAGCAATAGAAGGAGTGACTTTTTCATGGTCGAAGACACAAATGTGATACTAGACTTGATTATTGACCAAAATAAACATCACCAAAACACGCTTCATTTGTTATCACTTACTGGCCTCGAGGCCAACATTTGGATGTACTCAGAATCTGGAACTCAAGAGTCTGAATAATACAGTCCCAAGCTACAGCAGAAGAGTGCATATGTGTGTGTGTGTGTGTGTGCGCGCGCATGTGCATGTGCATTGTATATGTGCATGCATATGCCTAAGTGCTGGTCTGAAACTCTCTAAATGGATTCCTTATAGTTCTCAAAAGCAGAGGCAGCTGGGTTATTAGAAGCCATGCAATCAACAGATATTTACTAACCACCTACAGGGTGCCAGGTATGGTGCTAAAACGGAGGGGCTAAGGGACAAACTGTGTGGCTCTCAGAAGTTAGCATACTTTTGCTTAAGAACAGAAAGTGGATAATATATTAGATCCACATTCACATACTCATTGCCAGGCAATTCCAACTAGGAAAGCCTTTTTATTTATTTTTTTTAAAGGTTGCCACTACACACCTGCTAGGATGTCTGAAATAAAAAACGCTGACAATGTCAAATACTAGCAAGGATTTGGAGCAACAGGAACTCCTACTTATCACCAAAGAGAATGCAAAATGGTACAAACTTTGAAAATTGGTTTGGTAATGTCTTACAAAACTAAACATACTCCTACCATATGATCCAGCAATACTGCTCTTTAGTATTTACCCAAAAAAGTTGAAAACTTATGCCACAGAAAAACCTGCTTGTAGATGTCAATAGCAGCTTTATTCAGAATTGCCAAAAATTGGAAGCAACCAAGATGTCCTTCAAATAAGCGAACAGATAAGCTGTGGCATGTCTAGACAATGGAATATTATTTAGTGCTGAAGAAATGAGCTATCTAGCCATGAAAAGACATGGAGGAACCTTAGATGTATATTACTAAGTGAAAGAAGCCAATCTAAAAAGGCTGTATATTATGCAATTCCAACTATACGGCATTTTGGATAGAGCAAAATCATGAAAGCAGTAAAAAGATTAGTGGTTGTCAGGGGTCTAGAGAGAGAGGAATGAATAAGGAAAGTTTAGAGGATTTTTAGAGGAATAAAATTACTCTGTACATACTATGATGGTGAATACATGTTGTCTAGTCCATTTTGTGCTGCTACAACAAAACATCTGAGGCTGGGTAATTTAGAAAAAACAGAAATTTATTTATCACAGTTCTGGAGGCTCAGAAGTTCAAGATCAAAGTGCTGACATCAGGTATCTTGTTAGGACCATCTTGCTGAATCTTCCAGAGGTAATGCTTTTCCTTATAGGGTAGAAGAGCAGGAGACAGATAATTCTTCCCAATGCTTTTCCTTATAGGGTAGAGGAGCAGGAGACAGATAATTCTTCCCAAAGGCCCATTTTATAAAATCATCCATTCAGGAAAGTGAAGCCTCATGACCTAAACACCTCCCATTAGGCCCCATCTCCCCACACTGTTGCATTGAGGATTAAGTTTCCAACACCTGAATTTTTGGAGGGAACAAACACATTCAAACCATAGCACATGTCAACATGTATCTGTCAAAACTCATAGAAAGCACACTATTGTAAACTATGGGCCTTTATTAATAAGGATGTGTCATTTGGTTCATGAGACTATAAGGTCTGCTACAGATGTTTCACTGGGGTGTCAGACATTAACAGCAGGGGAGGAAGTATATGAGAATTCTGTATTTTCTGCTCAACTTTGCTGTAAACCTAAAATTGCTCTGAAAAATGAAATATACTTAATAAATGAATGAATGAATAAGTAAATAAATGACAAAAAATGGCATTCCAAACTGTGAGCAGTTGTAGAAAGAAATCAAAGGATCTGATGATTAAGATACTCAATTAGTGCCCTGAGCAGATTTCTTAGGTTCTTTTTGACATGAGAATATCTTACATTTTTATGCTGACTTTGTTCATCCTGTGAGTCCATAGCCATGTTCAGAACTGGAATAGTCCCATACTTGGGGCTTTCTGGATGACTCCAAAATCCTGTCTTCAGTCCCAGTGTGCTAACTCTGTGAAACTGGAACCAGACAAGGTCAGCACAGAGAACTGGTGCATGAGAAGCTGCTGAAGACAGGTACTCTCAGTGTTCTGTGAACATGAGGAATCATGTAAAAGAGTGAGAATGCTTTTTATTTTTAATTTTTGAAACAGGATCTCACTCTGTTGCCCGGGTTGGAGTACAGTGATGTGATCTCAGCTCACTGCAACTGCTGCCTCCCAGGCTCAGGCGATCCTGCCACTGGCACACACCACCATGCTTGGCTGATTTTTAAAGCCCTTTTGGAGAGATGAGGTCTCACTCTATTGCTCAGGCTGGTCTCAAACTCTAGGGCTCAAGTCATCCTCCCACCTAAGCCTCCCAAAGTGCTAGGATTACAGGTGTGAGCCACCACACCCAGCTAAGTGAGAATGCTTAAGCAGGCATAGTAGCATGACTCTGATACATTTTTTTTAAAAAAGAAACTTACCAGCCGGGCACAGTAGCCCACACCTCTAATCCTAGCACTTTGGGAGGCCAAGGTGGGTGGCTTGCCTGAGTTCAGGAGTTCAAGACCAGCCTGGGCAACACGGTGAAACCCCGTCTCTACTAAAATATGAAAAATTAGCTGGGCATGGTGGCATGCACCTGTAGTCCCAGCTACTCAGGAGACTCAGGCAGGAGAATTGCTAGAACACAGGAGGTAGAGGTTGCAGTGAGCCAAGATGGCACCACTGCACTCCAGCACTCCCGCCTGGGTGACAGAGCAAGACTCCATCTCTAAAAAAAAGAAAAAAAAAACTTACCAAAATGAATAAATGAATGGTCCCAATTCTGCTAAATAGTCAATTTGATCTTAGATGAATGATTAGAAAGACATGGCAATTGTTAACAGCAATTGTCTCATGAAGACAGCTCATCTGTGATTCTTACATTTTGTTTTATGCATCTTGATGTTCCAAATTTTCTTCAATAAATAAGTATTTTTTAAAATCACAATTGAGAGAGAGAGACAAAATATGAGAGACAATGATTGTCCATCAACAGAGTAGTCAATGAGAGTTCTGAGTTTATCAAGACGATAAATGACCAGCAGGAAAACCCCACATCTGACCCAGAGGGAGCTTCTGAAGAACTAGGGTACAGTTGGGTTTATTTTATTTTTACTTTTACACACACACACACACACACACACACACACAGGTGTGTGTGTATATATATGTATAAACATATATAGTTGTTTTTGAGCTAAAGTCTAACTGTAGCCCAGGCTGGAGTGTAGTGGCATGATCTCAGCTCACTGAAGCCTTCATCTCCTGGGTTCAAGCCATCCGTCTCCTCAGCCTCCTGAGTAGCTGTGACTACAGGTGTGTACCACTACACCCAGCTAATTTTTGTATTTTTTGTAGAGACAGGGTTTTTCCATGTTGCCCAAGCTGGTCTTGAGCTCCTAGACTGAAGTGATCCTCCTATCTTGGTCTCCCAAAGTGCTGAGATTACAGGCATGAGCCACTGTTTCCAGCTTCTTGGGTTTAAAATAAAAACTGCACATAAGAAGACAAATCTACATGTGCTGTTTGTAAGTCAACTACATGGACCATAGCAGTAAGGACCCATTTAGTTCTTGTTGGATCCCAGGAGAAGGGCATCAAAAGAGTAAAAAGTATCTGAACACTGTAGGGCCCAACCTCTTCATGATGGAAAGAAAAGGCTATTTCCAAACCTATAAAGGGCAAGAATGACAGTGGATGTAGCCCCCAAACAGATACAAATGATACACCTGGATTTATGGACCAAAGGGTTGAGAGTAGGGAGGTGTGGGGAGGAGACAGAAATTAAATAAACCCGAACCACAGCCAGGGATCAAAATCTAACACCTTCCACTTGATTTGATGGCTCTTCCAGGAGCCTGTTAACACCTCATAACTATAACTGAGGCCCACAAAAGAAACCACTCAACAGGGGAAACACAACAATCCACACACCTCAAAGTGATCATGGCCTTCAGTGCAGAACAGAGAGGCTCAGCAGTGAAGAAGCAAGAGAGATTGGGGGCATTTATTTCATGTTCCTCAACCTCCTGGGTGTGGGTTGCTTGT